GACCACAGGCGCCCACCACAACGCCTGGCTATTTTTTGGTTGCAGCCCTCATTGTTGTTTGGCAGGCCAGGGCTGGATTTGAACCCGCCAGCTCAGGTGTATGTGGTTGGCGCCTTAGCCGCTTGACCCACAGGTGCCGAGCCTAGAGTTACACCTTTAAGGCATAAGCAGAAATAAAAGAATTTAAAACATTTGTATAGGCTCTGTACCTGTAGCTCAAGCAGCTAAGGTGCCAGCCACATACACCAGAACTGGCGAGTTCGAAGCCCTCCAAACAACGACAACTACAACTCAAAAATAGCTGGGTGTTGTGGCAGATGCCTATAGTCCCAGGTACTTGGGAGGATGAGGCAAGAGAATCGCTTAAGCCCAAGAGTTTGAGGTTGCTTTGAGCTGTGACGCCATGATACCAAGGGTGACAAAATGAGACTCTGTCTCAAAAAACAAAAAATAAAATAAAACATTTGCATGGTTATGCAATTAGTACTACCCATGTAAAATGCATATCCTTATTTTTCCCTTAAAATTTCGGGTAAAAAGCATTATACATAGTAAAATGCAGTGTATACATCATTCTGTGGATGGAGAAGTGTGTTGTTCCCCACTAAAGATTATAAATAATAATACATCTTTATTTCTTTTTCTTTGAGATGGAGTCTCACTCAGTTGCCCTGGAGTTGAGTGCCGTGGCATCGCAACTCACAGCAACCTCAAATTCATGGGCTCAAGTGATCCCCTTGTCTCAATCTCCTGAGTAGCTGGGACTACAGGTGCCTGCCACAACACTGGGCTATTTTTAGAGATGGGAGTCTTGCTCTTGCTCAGGCTGGTCTCGAACTCCTGAGCTCAGGCAATCCACCCACTTCGGCTTCCCAGAGTGCTAGGATTACAGTCGTGAGCCACCAACCCTGGCCAAAGTCCATATATTTTAAACATTCAAAAAAAAAAAATTCCCCCCCAACCTGTTACCCAACATTCATTTGTATTTATGGGCCACATTCACTGCACTTCTTTCCCTTTGTCAATCTGGGTCACCCCATCTGTGATTATTCTGTTTGTCTCTGAAGAAAAACCTTTTGGGTTATTTTTTTAACCCAAATTTCCTGACATAACTATCATTTCCTCTTCTAATATCCTTTATGTGACCCTCCTTAAAACTTAATTTTGCTTGGAAAATAATGCTATTGTACTGTAACTAAAAAGAATTTTTGAAAATATATTTGAGGCCTAAGATGTTTCTTCCTCCAGACGAATTTTTCTTGCTTCTACAGGAAAGTCGGATACACAAACACTTCTTGATATCTTAAATATAATTTCAGGGCCTAAGAATGTTCTAGACCTCCCAAATATCTTGAAGCCTTGCTTCAATTTGTGGAAAGGCTGTTCATCCTATTCATCCTACACGTGAAGAATCCTCCATGGGTCCAGTAAAGTCAAAGGCATTTTATCCTGATCCATCTGTGCCAAAGAGCTCTTTGTGCCTAATCATCCCTGGAAATCATGGCCTGTTGCTTCTTTCAGATCACCAAGTCCCCACAGCAAAGGCAGCTTTATATGTTGTGCTGATGTCTTGAAATTCTAATTCTTTCTGAATCATAATCCATACTGCTATATTATTAGTCATCTGGTGCATTCAGAAAGATTTTTTAAAACATTTTTTAAATGGCTCAGTTTTGCCATTTCCTTCAGTGAAAGGGTTGGTCAAAATCATCTTCCTTTCTTTTAGGGAAGACATCCCCTTCAGAAGGAAAAATAGAAACTATCTAAATGTCCCAAAATGAAGATATGGGTAAAAGCAAATGCAGTTTTGAAAAGTGGAAAAATACGTGGTCATTAAAGATGTTTTCACAATGAAACAGAGACACAGGAGAATTCACAGCAAATCATTATTTTTTGAAAAATTATACACATATCCTAAAATCTAAACACTGAAATGTAAGAAAAATTAAAACAGTAAAGAACAGTCCAGAATTGTCTGCATCATAGATTTTGTCCTAAAACTCCTTTTTTTTTTCTTTTGAGACAGTCACTTTTTCACCCTCAGTAGAGTGCTGTGGTGTCACAGCTCACAGTAACCTCCAACTTCTGGGCTTAGGCGATTCTCTTGCCTCAGCCTCCCAAGTAGCTGGGACTATAGGCACCCACCACAACACCCAACTATGTTTTATTGCAGTTTGGCCAGGCCAAGTTCAAATCCCCACCCACTGAGCCACAGGCGCAGCCCTACAAGTCCTTTTTTGTTGTTGTTTAGTTTTTGGCTGGGGCTGGGTTTGAACCCACTACCTCTGGCATATGGGGCTGGTACCCCACTCCTCTGAGCCACAGGCACTGCCCCCTAAAAATCCTTTTTAAAATTTTAAAATTCTGGGGGGTTCCTGTGGCTCAAAGGAGTAGGGCATCAGCCCCATATGCTGGAGGTGGTGGGTTCAAACCCGGCCCCGGCCAAAAACTGCCAAAAAAAATTTTTAATTCCATACCAATTTTCTCATAGGGACAAAATAAAACAGTGAGAATGTGTTCTTACAGAGCAGTATTTTCAAACTTTTATATCTCATGGCACACTTAAATTATGTTATCCAAAAAAGTTTTTAAAAATAAATGTACTGTGCTTTGAACATTTTGAAAATAATTAATGATCTTTAAAAATGTTCGTGGCACAAAGATTCTCTCATGGCACAACAGTTGAAAATCTGTCACAGGGTATAAATTTGTACCACTCTGGCATGCTTTTAATGTTTCCTTATACTTTCTAATCGTTTTTAATGTTACTTTATATTTTCTAGGCATATATTTTCTTTTTAAGAGAAGGATCTCACAAGAAAAAAAAAAGGTTCTCACTGTGTTGCCCAGGCTAGAGTATAGAGGCATGATCACAGCTCACTACAGTCTCCAAACTGCTGGGCTCATATGATCCACTTGCCTCATCCTCTCAAACACCAATGACTACAGATGCACACCACCATGCCTGGCTAATATAAAAAACTATTTGTTTCTACAGAGATAGATATATGTTGCCCAGGCAGGTATCAAAATCCTGGCCTGAAGAGTTCCCTCTACCATGGCCTCCACCCAAAGTGCCAGGATTAATGAGCCACCAAACCAAGCCCTAAAGCTCATGTTTTCAATAAACTAATGGGATAATGTATCATACTATTACTTAAAATTTCTTCTTAGCCCTCTGGTGATTGTTCAGGTAAGTATCCTACGTAATCTTATGAACCCCTGGATAACATTTTAATTGGATTTTAAATTATAACATTAAACATTAAATTATAACAGACTTTGAAACCTCCAAATCATTTAAATAAAAGCATAGTTCATTCTTCGGCTACTGACATAATTTAGTCTTCCTTGTTAGTGCCACAACTATGCAGCAATAAACACAATCCATAAATGAGCATACCAGCTTCAAATTCTGCAATACCAGAAAATCATACAATAATTTGGGAATTGCATTAGTGAAAATTTTACATAAAATTTGATAGTATTAATTTTTAAGGGCAGATTTCATAATTGGAATTTCATAATTCCAATCATCATAAAATGTCAATATTGGCCAAGCGTGGTGCCTCATGCATGTAATCTCAGCACCACTGGAGATCGAGGCAGGAGTTGCTTGAGATGAAGAGTTCAAGATCAGCCCAAGCAAGAGTGAGTCACTATCTTTACAAAATTTAGAAAAATTAGCCAGGAATGGTGGTGTGCATTGAGGTTGCAGTTAGCTATGACACCACTGTACTCCAAAACAGAGCAAGATCCTGTCTCAAGAAAAAAAATATATATATATATTATATGTTGTATTTACATATTAAATGATTTTCTGTTTAACTGTTGTACAGTTTACTATTCCATTTAGCTGACACTGAGTTTACAGACACTGTCTGGATTCTTTATAGGGAAAGTAGTTTAGTAATAATGGCAATATATAGATACATGCCAAAGAGTAGCAAAAAAAATTGAGCACACAAATTTACACTCCACAAATATTTTATTTAAAATATATACTTTGTTCTTGTGGCTGAAAAAGATAAATATTAGTGTGGGAAATTTAAAACACATTATAAAAAATATTAAACTGCAGGCACATTTATGTAAGATTATGATGGGTTCCATTAAGAAAATCAACACTTCTCTGTTATAAAGGATACTCACGTATTTCTGTAGCTCTTTGCAACTGTATTTAGTATAACACTTACTTGTGCTTTTCAACATGATCATGTGGTGGTGTATTTTCAGAAAAATTTTGGTATCAGAAACATTTAGTACAATATTTCTAGCAGGGATTTTTTAGTTCTCAATTCCCAAATTGGCATGCTTCTAGTCAGCTAACACATGATATTGACATAAGATCAAGAATGAATCTTCAAAACATTTGTAAGATATCCCTAATATCAAGTATCTGATACTGAGATGGTACTTCCATCTCTGGGCAAAATAGTCTTCATATTTGTTAAGTTTCTTCCCTTCACTACTTCTAACATAAACTGAGTTAAGTACAAAAAGGTTCCTGGACTTTCATGATGTTGACAGACATTTCTTCCCACTGTACTTTCTCAGATCAGTGAATTCTGATAAGAGGCTTTTCCACTTTTGTAGATTCACAGGATTTCTGCCTTCTGTGTGCTTTCTGATGTGCTGTCAGAGATGGCTTCTGGTGAAAGGTTTTCCCACATTCATTACACCTGTAAGGTTTCTCCCCTGTGTGAGTCCTCTGATGTATTCTGACAGATGATTTATAGAAGAAAGCTTTACCACATTCATTACATTCATATAGCTTCTCTCCTGCATGTGTTCTTTGATGTTTAATAAGAGCTGATGTCTGATTAAATGTTTTGCTGCATTGAATGCATTTATATGGTTTCCCTCTTTTGTGTCTTTTCTGATGTATGATAAGGGATGACTTCTGGGAGAAAGTTTTCCTACATTCATTACATTCATATGGTTTCTCCCTTGTGTGTGTTCTCTGATGTAATATGAGAGATGACTTCTGGAAAAAGCTTTTCTCACATTCATTACATTCAAAGGGTTTCTCCCCAGTGTGAGTTCTCTGATGTACACGGAGGTTTGACTTCTCACAGAATTTTTTTCCACATTCATTACACTGGTAGGGTTTCTCACCTGTGTGTGTTCTCTGATGTACTATGAGACCAGACTTATATCTGAAGGCTTTCTTACATTCAATGCATTCATACGGTTTCTGTCCTGTGTGTATCCTCCGATGAACTCTAAGTCCTGACCTATTTGTGAAAGTTTTCCCACATTCAGTACATTCATAAGGTTTCTCCCCACTGTGTATCCTATTATGTACTATAAGAGATGACCTGTGGCTGAGGGCTTTCCCACACTCATTACATTCATAAAGTTTCTCCCCGCTGTGTATCCTATTGTGTACCATAAGAGATGACCTGTGGCTGAGGGTTTTCCCACACTCATTACATTCATAAAGTTTTTCTCCTATATGGGTTTGCTGATGTTTAGAAAGCACTGGAGTATCTTTAAAGGTTTTCTTTTCTGTATGTGTCTGCTGGGGAGAGAGATTTGGTTTCTCAAAGATTTCCCCACCCTCACTACATTCAAAGCTTGTTTCTCCTTTTTGAGTTCTTTCAGTTTGAGTGAGGAATGACTTATTGTCAAAATTATTCCCACATTCATAGTATTTCTTCCTAATGATAACTCTATGTTTATTTAGAGTTGGTTTCTCACCGACATACTTCTGCCCATAGTCATTAAATTCATAGTTATTCTCCTTTCTGTGAGTTTTCTCATGGACGAGATGGTTTGAATCATCAGGAAGGATTTTTTCGTGTTCACTATAATCACAGGGCTTCTTCCATGAGCACGCTCTCTTATGGGTAAAGAATTCTGCCTCCTTGTGAAAGGCTTTCCCACATTCATTATATTTAAAAAACTGCTTCAGAGTTTGAATGTCTTGATGCTGAAATAGGTCTTCATTCTGACTAATGGCTTTTGCATTTCCATCATGTTCAAAATGTTTCTCTCTGGCATAAGGATTCTCATGCTTTGCACAGGGGAGCAATTTCTTGTGTGCAATGAACTCATCAAACTTCCCTAAATAGGAGTTTCTATTACTGATTAAATCTGAAATATTCACATTCATTATATGTGAGTCATTTTTATCACATATTTTTCTCACCGGAACAAGGTTTGTGTCCACGTTAAATGTTTCTCCTAATACACTATTTCTCTCCTTAGTCTGTTTCTTATTACTGACAACATCAACTTTCCACAAATGCTGGTCTTGATTTTCCCGGCTCTTCTCCAACAGGTCATCAGCATTCCAGAATTCTAGAAATGAGAATAATTTACCATACCTTACAAATGTTAAAACATTTCAAGTAGAAAGGGAACTTAACATACAAATGCTCTAGCATACATAGCCCAGTCTGAAGATAACCCTGAGAGCTTGTATCTCGCTCCCTTAGTATTGGACAATAACCTATGGTAGTGGGGAAAAGGAATGGAATCTACAAATAAAAAAGCACAGTAATTTGTACTTTTGAAATGTGACCTTGAAAACTAGATAAAGTAAAATAAACACAAAATATAACAAAGTACTTTTGAATGAATAAGACATGGAGAAACACAAAAAGCAACCAATAGTAGGCAGAATTGCCAAGAAAAATTAGCAGACAACAGTGTTGAGGGGCAAAAGCAAAGAAAAAATTAAATTTGGAGGAGGAAAAAAGTACCTAAGTCCCGCACAGAATCCTCAGTAACTTCTTATCTCCTGCCACAGAAGCACTAAAACACATGCTTCTGTCTGTAATACCAGCATTTGGGAGGCTGAGGCAGGTGGATTGCCTGAGCTCACAGATTCCAGACCAACCTAACCCAGGGTGAGACCTCATCTCTAAAAAAAAAAAAAAAATAGCCTGGCAGCACCTGTAGCTCAATAGGTAGGGCACCAGCCAAATACATTGAGGTTAGCAGGTTTGAACCCCAACCTGGGCCAGCTCAAATAACAACTGCAACAAAAAAATAGCTGGGCATTGGGTGGACTCCTGTAGTCCCAGCTACTAGGGAATGACTTAAGCCCAAGAGTTTAAAGTTGCTGTGAGCTGTGAAGCCACAGTACTCTACCAAGAGCAACATAGTAAGACTCTGTCTCAAAAAAAAAAAAAAACCAAAGCGCTGCTGGCACTTCATCCATACCCCACATAGCAGCTCAGGCCCAGGCATTTGTCACCAAGCCCAAGTTGGCTTCAACAGGTATAATAATGATATGTGATATACAGTGTCTGCTATCCGTGCTGAGAGCCCAGGAACCTACCT